TTTTTTATATATTTCCAAATACTTATATAACATTATATTTCTATCAAATAATAAGCGAAACTTCAATAATGAAGACGAAGAGCACCGGCAAGAAGTGGAGGAAACGCCGACTATTTATGCGATCGATATCCTAATCGTATTATTTAATGTAAGATATATTACTTCTGACAGAAAAACAAATAATAAAATCCCTATATTTTTACTGCCATTTCTTATATTTCAATTATGAAATTCATTTCTCTATCTTTATCTATTGGTTAATGTATTAATGATTGAATTATTAGACAATAAATATAATATCCATTAATTATATTTCGCCCAAATGTTTATCAGTTGTTTTTTCTTCTCTTTTCTCATATGAATAACAGATTTATTCAATTTTATGCGTTTTATCGCAATATCAAGACTACTGTGAAGGACGCGGAACCGCTGAATACAATTACAGACACCCCCGAAGAAATAAATTAAAAGTATTCAATGTTTGCCAGACTTATTATACTTATATAATATGATATACTTATTATTAATAATAAAATGCAATATAACTATTCATATGTTTGAAATTTTATACATTTTTGTGCAATTCTTTGAAATTTAATATTTTTATCCATTTTCCCGGAATTATTCTAACTTTTTCTACAAAAACATCTTATCTTAAATATAAATGAAATTATAATGCAATTCATTTATTATAACATTTATTATTTTCTATTTAATTTTATTAAATTTTAATTAAATTTTACAATCAAAGGCGGCATGAAATGCATGTAAAGTTGCAAAGCATGATAAGAACACAACTAAACATAACAAATGCTTATAACAATACGCTTACGATTGCACTCCTAATCCCCACACTATAGCAAATGCTGTGCAAATCTGAGTGGTGTCTAATATTATTTCCATTTTACGCCATTCCCTCACTTTCGCCATCGCTTCACACATTGGACCCGAAGGTCACGTATTCGTCGCAAATCAAGTCAGACAACACATGCAAATGGCCTACCATTGAGAACTCCGAGTCCAAGTGTCACCTAATGATACCCAGGAATAGTCTCAACACCGAGAACTCCTGTGTCACAAGTATTGGTAATTGAATTATTGCACAAAAACATAAAGAGACGGTTGAAAAACAAGAAACAAGTAATTGAATAAAATTTTGGGGTAAATTCACGAATCAAATTGAAAGTTACAAAAACACTACTATAAGTAATATT